CCGGAAAGTAATAGGGCTGATTTTCTTCCGCCGTAAATGGCTGGTAGAGGGCGTTCCCAACTAACGAACGAGCGGTTGATCAGTTGTCTCCAACCACCTGGAGAGTTAGGACAAAGATTTTCGCGCGACCGGTTTCTGTGAGCGGTGCAAGCCAAAGGTGCAGTTCTATGCAATGGACAATGGTCTTTTTTAACATCAAAGGCGTCGTCCACCATGAATTTCTGAAGTTTCTTCCTGAACAAACCGTCAACGCCAAACTATACGTAGAAGTCCTCAAGACACTCAAACTAAGGGTCTATCGGATTCGGCAAGACATCGCAGAAATCACCAAGGCCGGCAGCCCAACGCTTCCGCAGCCGCCCTACAGCCCAGATGAGATCCCCGGCCTTTTTTTTCCTTGCATGAAGAGGCTGATTCAACCAGCATGCACCTCGGCTCTCAAGGCTATTTCGACGAATGCCTTCCGTAACGCCTTCAATGGTGCATATTTCGAAAGTTTATAAAGAATCGTAACGATTCTTTCATTACATTTTTTTTAAATCGACTCAGTCCTATTACTTTCCTGAGAAGCAAATACAGGGTTTATGTTAATAATTTTTCAGTGATACTAAAAGGCTAATAGACATACCATGTAAATAACATATTTGAGAGACAGCAATGATACAATTATTTTTCAATCAATATTATTGTCAGTTTATGTTAAGAACTCTTTTTTTACTTTCTAGTTTGATGTGCTTGAAATCCGTTTTTTATACTACTGTAACATGATGCTTCAGAGTATAATAATTTTGTTCACCTAACGGTTGTTTGTATCAACTAAAACTAATCGAGATAGATACGTTGTTACACATACAGTTGAACTTCCCTAACGCGAATCACCATAATTTACATTAAAACTTCAAGTTAAAGAGACTTAGAGTTATAGAAGTTTTTATTAAAACATAAAATGTTTCAAAAAGCTATAAAATATAGATGTAATAAAACATGTATTATGTAATGTTTCGCTGAATATATGCATAGTGTTTGCTTGTTTGTTTCAATGAAAAGAGATTGTGATGGGGTTTCGTCCATAGCTGAGGTATGCTCAGCCGCTCCAGGGTCAGTCGTGGGACCCACGAACCCTTTGCAAAGAATATTTACTTTTTGTAATAGATGTATCCACACCCCTTATGTGGACAGCCAAACTAGCTTATATTTATATGGCGAGTCAGGTGGAATCGATTGGATTGTTGTGCCAGGCGTTGGTTCTTGTCGAAGTCGGTACGGTAATTACGGTAATGTGGTGGTCCTTCTATATTCTGGTGACTAGTAGTCACTCAAAGACACGGTGTTGACTGCACGGTACAGTGCAGTATTCTATGGATCCCCTGCGAAGGAGAAATTATAAAAATATTAATATGTCAACCGAACGCGTTGCAACTTCACGAGCACTGTGTCTTTTCTCTATTCTGTACTTACATGCGAGTCGCCTGTTAATCGCGTTAGTTGGGTAACGGTACACTATGGTGTGCAAGCAGTGGTACTGACGCTGTTCGAGGCAGCGCAGCTGTTAATGATACATTAACGGTGCACTAGTGTGCAGGCTGCGGTAGTGACGCTGTTCGAGGCAGCGCAGCTGTGATATCGCTGTATCACAACGCAACTGATACTACGGTCGAGCCAATGCGCGTACTGATACATTGTATAACCATGGATAATATGATACGAAACTTTAGCATTGGCTCTCTTTTTCTCTYAAACGCGTTCCCTGATTATTTGACAGCGATGAAGATCAGGGAATTTCTGACAATTAATTTCAGAAAAGGCGGGATGCCAGAAGTAAACCGCTATAATTACCT